CGCTCTTCCCCCATGGCCCCCACAAGATGCTCATGCCCTAATCCTTGGAACCTGTTAATATGTTATGTTACAATAACAAAGCAAATTTTGCAAATGTGGTTAAGGTTACAGACCTTAAGATAGGAAGATTGTCCTGGATGACCTGGTGGACTCAGTGTAATCACATGAGCCCTTAAACACTGAGTTTTCTCAGAGAGCAGAAGAGAAAGGCAGAGAGATGTGGCAGAGAAGTCAGAGATTCTAGCGATGGGAAGGACTCAACTTGCCCTTGTGGAGGGGCCACGCAGACAGGAGAAGGAATGTGAACAGCCAGCAAGGAAATGGGGCCCTCAGTCCTATAAGCGCAAGAAACTGAATTTGGCCAACAACCTGAATAAGCTTGGAAGCAGGTTTTTCCCCAGAGCCCTCAGTAAGGAACACAGCCTTTATTTCAGCCTGTGAGACCCTACAGAGAGGACCCGGTCAAGCTCATCTAGCTTTCTCACCTACAGAAACTGTGAGATACATGTGTGTGGTTTTTAGGCACTGAATTTGTGGTCATTTGTTAGAGTAGCCATAGAAAACCAACACAGACTCCAAAGAGCTTTCTTGGATATCTCTGGACCAGACCTTAAGTATAATTCCAATTAAAGGGGCAGGAGAAGAGACACTAACAGTACATCTCCCCAAACAAATGGCAATACAGATAGTGACTTCCTAGTACTTATCATACCTGAAGTTATGGGATTTGTTTATTCATTGTCTGTCTCCAGGTCCCTGAAGACAAGGGCTTGCACTGCCTGTTCACCCCTGAATTCCCAGTGCTTAAAGAAGTGCCAAGCACATGGCAAGTCTTTGATAATACTTATCAAATGAGTGAATAAATGAGGAATGAGCGAATAAACAATTTTGGTTCTCAGGCTGGAATTTGATTCCATAAATGACGTACTATATTTTTAGGAACTTGTTTTTCCCCATTAAATTACGCCATGGTAGATCAAAAATCTTTCATTTTCACCTACTTATGGCTTGTTTTTGTTTGCTTTATATTTGCTTTGTTTTCCCAAACCGAGTAATGAAAAGGCTAAGTAGAATTGCTTTTAAAGGTTGAAGCACCCTAGGCCAGTGCCAGAATTATACTTTGCTTGGGTGCCTGTGGATTATTTTCAAAAGAAGGGGAAGAAGAGGGATTTTTCACAAATTGTGCTCATCCAGTATCTCTCTGTTTCTCCTCTCCATCTCCCAGACCCTCGTTACACAGGGTTCAAGAGTCGTGAAACCTTGAGGCCTCTGCTAAACCCATTTCTTGGGTGGTGTCCTCTCAGCTATGTTTTGCTTGTCATTTCTTAAATTTTTCCAAAGCTTCGTGGACTGGTAAATGTATTTGTTTGAGAAAGAGGAATAATGCTTGCTTAAAATAATTAAAATTCAGGAGACTGTTCCAAACAAATCTTCCTGGCAACAGAGAAAATGGATGTTATAAAAACTCTAAATTGTGTCTCTAATTCCAACAAATTCAGAGGGTGTTCACTTGAAAGCACCCTACAGATCACAACAGCGGTGTTACCTCCACATGTGACAGGCATGTTAACTTGGATGGGACGTTCAAGGAGAGGCAACCTTTGTCAATATCTCATTCCTTCCTTCTTATTTGAGGCAGGCAAGAGTTATTAATTTATTTCTTGAGGCACAAACATCACAATTCAGTTGCTTAGCTTATAATAAAAAGTAGCAGAGAGGTACCATTTAAAGTGCGATGAGTTGGCTCCCGGCCGAGGTGGCCTCACGGTTCGCAATGGGGGTGGGGTGCGATAAGAAAGTCTTTCTTTAAAATGCGCAGAGAAAGAAAATCCTAAACCCTTCTGCCTAATTAGGGCAACCCATATAAAAGAAATTTTATTACTAGACTCTAGAAAAGACTGCTTGTTCTTTGATCCTATTTAGTAAAAAAAATCCAAACCATTCACACGAAGAAAATTCCCCGTGATAAATTGTGCTTTGATGATGGCTACGGTTCATTATTTAAGTCCATTGCACAACCAGCCCACTTACATTTAACTTCTCTGTGGTACGTTTGAGTTTATTTTGCTTTAAATTCAGTGATTTAGGAGATTATATAAACCGATCTACAGACTTCTTAAGTGTTTCTAACTCTAATGTCAGGTGTGCCAAAGTACCGCCCTATGCTCACATGTTCAAAAGCTGCTTATAACTCAAAGATGTAGAATTCTCCAGCAATAAAGGATCTGGTTTATGAAAATTGTTCAGTTACATGATTCAGGAGTTTTCCAGCCCCGAACCTTTGGGTGCCATCAAAAATATCTTATACTGGGACAGAGGTAGTTTTTTGAATAATTCATTCTTGTTTTCTTATTATAAATATGTTAATTAGAGGAAACTTTGAAAATACAGAGGTGAACAAATAAGGAAAAAACACCCACAATCTCACTGTACAGAGGTAACTACTGATATTTCATACACATCCTTCCAGCATTCCAGTGTTTTTGTATATATTCATACATACATACTTTTAATTTAGGAATTTTTCATTCTGTATGATACTTTGTCTTCTATTTTCTTAAGTTAACGATATATTTCAAAAAATATACCGTGTCCTAAGATATTCCTTTAGTCTATAATATTTTTATTTTTAATGGTTGTACAGTATTTCATAATAATGGCTAATACTTATTAAATATTTACTGTGTGACATTCACCACTGTCGTTTATTTAAACCCTGCTACAATTCTGTAGGGCAGATGATATTATTAACTTCATTTTAAAGATGACGAAACTGAGGTGCTGAGAGGTTAAGTCACTTATCTAAATTCATATGACTTGTAAGTGGCAGAGCTGAGATTCAAATCCAGAGAGTCTGCTTCTAGCCTGCTCACTTAGTCACTAGGCCATAAAATATATAATGGAGTAGTATACCACCACACAATAGTTTATATAACATGTTCTCTATTTTGGAGTATTTTGGTTGTTTGTAGGGTTTTTTTCTAATAAATAAAGGTATACACACACAAAATTTTTTGCACATTTCTGATTATTTCATTAGATAATAGACATGTATTTCAAGAAAGGTTATGACCATTTCTAAGAGATGTATATTTTGTTCTGTCATATTTCCGAGGGGGCCGTTTTAATGTCAAACTTTAGTTTGGCCTTTCCAGAAAATAATTCTATTCTGGTGTTTAAAGCTTCAGCTCTAACACACCATAGGAGGTCAGACCAGACAAATGAAAAAAATAAAAATGCTTCATGCCATAATTACTTTTATTTTTGACAGATATATTTATAATTTATTCAGTAGATGTGGTTTTGTTTTCCCTGCAGGATCCAAAAAATGTGTTATTTAGTAGGTCTAACTATATATATTGAAACTCATTTCCAAGGATAATTTCCTCTCACCTTTTTTCTTAATTTAGATAGATTTTCTAGTCAGTATCTTAAAACATACCTGCTTTCTTCCATTTTAAAAACAAAACAAAGGAAAAAAAAGAAAACATAAAAAGAGCATCATGTGTGTCCTATACTCTATGTTACAAAAACATTTTAGAACAGAATCTGACAGTACTGATTCCTCTGCCTGAATGGTTTCCTCTTTAACAAGTTTATAGTATTTCACTTGTGTGTGCGTGCATGCACGTCATTTTGGGCTTTCACTTTAGTTATGGACGTGTCTCTTCCACAGTAGACTATGAACGCTTTGAAGGGTGTCTTGTTGTCGTATCCTTCTTGACACAATGCTTCTTGACACAAAACAAGGACTTGATAAATATTTGAGTAAATAAATGAATGAAGAAAAGCAAGGCACGTTACCATGGTAGTTTAGAAGCAGATGTCTTTTAAATCTAGGGCTTCATTGAAGGGTTCATAGAGGTGATGATACTGGAGCTATTCTTTGAAAAATGGATTGGTCTTCAATGGGCAAAAATGTGGGAGAAGATCAGATGTGACCTAAGGTCAGGAGGGTGCCGTTCAAGGTCTTGCAGGGAAAGGAAAAGCAGTCTAGAAGATATATTGGGAAATAGTGGCATATCAAGCCATTATTGTCAAGGTGGATTAGGTCAGGGAGGGTTTGGATGCCAGGGTAAGAAGTCTGGACTTCATTAAGCAATAGAAAGTCAGTAAGATTCTTTTATTTTTGTGTTTGTTGGCTTGTATTTGTGTGCATGTGTGTGTGCATCTTTTGGGAGGAGTGTGGTGGAGGGGTAGCAGTACTAGAGTTATACTTTATCCAGAATAACCCAGTGGGGCTTTGTTAGCTGTATTATGTGTTAACTAAAGTAATGCTAACATCCGCAACCAATAAACCCCCAAATTTCAATGGTTTAACACATTCAACAGTCAAGTGCGGATGTTTCTGGTTGGTGGTAAATCTTTGGGGGACAGAGCTTTCTCTGGCCACACAGTTCAAGGAAGAACACTAGAATGGGAGACCCCTGAGGATCCTTTACAACAAGTAGAAATTCTGGCCTGAACTGGGATAAGGCCAGAAGGAATAGGCAGGAGAGGATGGGCAACAGGTTTTTTTCATGGTTATTAAATTTTTGAAGGACTTCTGAATCAAGTATAAATTGAGAAGGAGTTTCATAACAAATTGTGAGCCGAGTGCTTATATTTCTAAATTAGTTCAGGTCATCTCTCAGTTTCTCCCTAGGTATTATTTTGTGTTCCCAAAACAATGGTACAGTCAGTCCTGGTCCACAGTTAAGTCAAGTGAGCTTAACTCAAGGGCGGAAATTGGGGAATGAGATGTTTCTCAGTGAAGCTATTAGGATAATTGACCTACATCACC